CTCGCCTCCCTCCCTCCCTCCTCCGGCCGCCCCCCCCCCTTTTTTTCCTCCGGCGGCGCTCCTCCCGCAGCACCCCCCAATGGATTGTCTTGCGCACCCCACTTTGGAGACCACTGGTCTAGAATGTAAAGACACAGGCCTTGCCCCACGTTGCTTACAGTCCAAACTGAGATGAAGACTCAGTCGCCTGCTTCTGCACAGCAGGTGTCAATAGTGGGTTTAGCACCAGCAGCCTGACCCAGCTTCCTTTCCAGTCAATGGGAGCCTTTCCATTGATTTCAAGGGGAGCTTCGTTGGGCCTCAGTTCAGCTGCACACATTTTAGCTGCAAGTGCAGCCCAGGACAGACTGTGTTTAGCACCACTGCAGAAAACCATGGTTAAAGTCTGCTGGGAGCAAATCCCTGCCATAGCTTGCTGAAATGGTGCTGTACCCCATTTGGCCAGGTCTACTCTCGACACTAAGCACATGCAAATGAGCCAGCGCTGAGTCCTTCTTAGTATTGGGCGATGTTTCTGGCATAGGCCAGGCCAGCAAAAGGTCACAGAGGGTAAGATGGGCCGGGAGGACAGTGATGTACAAAGAAGGGGTTCTGCCTCTTGGGGGTGCATTTTCCTGTGAAGAGTGGGGGGCAGAAGGTTGCTGCTTGGATTTCTGGTTATTACATGTTTCTGTGTTTGAAAAACGAATGGCATATTTTTCATTGGTGGATTAACAATTATAATGAGTGCCTGCAAAAGAAGAATTAAAATTGTGTTTATGCCCCTTTTTATGGTGGATAAAGTCCAGTAAGAACTTGTAGCAGTGCTGGTTTGTGAAAGTTTTGTTTGTCTCCTTGTTTTTACCTTAGCAGTATCAAGAATGGCACATTGAGTCATGTTGAGTCTTCTGGGTTTGTGGGAGGACTTGCTGGGAGTCTCAGAGACTTGGCCAGCAAACTCTCTCAGCCTTTACGAGAAGTAGTGATGTTGAATTTTAACAGATGTATTTTCTCCTAAGTGTGTACAGGCATTTGAGTTAAATATGTATAAAACAAATGGAAAACAAGTTTTGAAAAAGACAGATTAAAAATTCTTTCCCATCTCAATTAATCATGTTTCTTTTCCTAAGGACTGTCATGTCATTAACCAGCAGCTCTCCAGTGGCCCATCGAGCTTTCCAACATAGACAAGAGCTGGATTTCTAATGTTAAAAGAAAGCAGTGAAGAACACTTCAAAAATCCTTTTGGGCCTCATTTTTGTGTCATAAGCAACACAGGGTATTGAGCGGCAGCATTCGGAATGAACTGGAGAAGTGTGAGGTCAGAGAACAGAAGGTACAGGCAATCCTCGACTTTACGACGTTCGACTTACAATGAACGGCACTTACAATGCTTCTGAATTGACACCCTGATTCGACTTACGACAATTGGTTTCAACTTTACAATGCTCGGTCCCTCAAAGGGGTGGACTGCAGTTCCGAGTTACGATGTTTCAACTTACAACGCAATTTTCAGGAACCATTTGTTCCATAAGTCCAAGACTGCCTGTATACAGTACTGAAGCCAGGAATAGATAAATACTTGACCATCGTATGCTCTTTACTTGTGTTTGGTAGAAAGTGGTGGATTAGTGCTTGGACATGACTAGAACAGATTGGGAAAATTAGCTCTTCTGTCGGGGGGGAGCAGCCTTCCAAATAGAAACTGCTCAGCTTTGTGATTTCCTTTAACAGTTGGCATAGTTCCCTGTTGCATTCAAAAGATACTCATTGTAGGGTGGAGATACTAGGTTTAATTGGTAAACAATATTTGTAGGCATTGCACATGTTAAATAACAGGACACCTGCTCAGAGAGAGAAGAGGACAGAGGCAAAACTCTGGTGATGTATTCCGAGGTTATGAGTTCAGAGCTGTGTATAGTCAGGGGTATGAGAGCAGAGTAGGTAGTGGGAGCTTCTCTCTGTGTGGCTAGGAGAGAAATGATCTCTTTCCTTTCCTGGGCTGCAGGGTTAATCCATTTCGCCAAAGCCTTGGAAATATCCCTTGTAAATGCAGACTCTGCAAGTGTGAACCTGGCATCTATTCTTCAGGACCTTCCTCAGGAGAGGAGCAGACTGAGCTCCCTTCCTCTCTCCCTGGGACTATGCAGTGTATATTTTGGAAAGAGGCTTGAGAAGTCGAGTCAGGTGTAACACTTCCACTTCTTGCCTGGAGCCTGGTGGGAAATGGGGCCAACCCATTGGCTCCTCTGGCGCTGTCATGCTCCCTGTACACATACAGTGGCTTTGTCCCTCCAGAGAGGAACCTGGTGCCTGAGGGGGTCTCACAAGCTGATAGGATCCTGGTAGAATCATAGAATGATAGAATATCAGGGGTTGGAAGGGACTTCAGGAGGTCATCTAGTCCAATCCCCTGCTCAAAGTAGGACCAATCCTGTTGTGAGGCACTCCAGCTGCCATTAGCCATATTACTGTGTAGTTGGTGCCGCATGTTCTCTTTCCCCCTGTATCTCAGACCCCTCCCTTTACCTGTGTGTGTATCTGGCACTATTCACTTTGTCTTCCTGGATATCAAATCCCATCAGGTTTGTCATTTTCCTAAATAGCTGTCAGAAATTGTTTTTTTGCTTCCACTCTGTAGCAGCCCCATCTGATCACAGTTGCACTGCAACAGTTAAGAACATACGAACGGCCATACTGGATCAGACAGATCAGTGGTCCATCTAGCCCAGTATCCTGTCTTCCGACAGTAGTCAATGCCAGGTGCTTCAGCAGGACTGAACAGAACAGGGCAATTGTCAAGTGATCCATCCCCTGTCATCCAGCCCCAGCTTCTGGCAACAGAGGTAAGAGCAACCAGAGTTGTGTCTCTGACCATCTTGGCTAATAGCCACTGATGCACCTCCTCCATGAAATTATCTAATTCTTTTCTGAACCCACAGTTAGTAGTTTGGTGATTTCAGCTTTGAGTTCCTTCAGAACTCCTGGGTGAATATCATCTGGTCCCGATGACTTATTACTGTTTAATTTATCAATTTGTTCCAAACCTTCTCTATTGACATCTCAGCCTGGGACAGTTCCTCAGATTTGTCACCTAAAAATAATGATTCAGGTATGGGAATTTCCCTCAGATCCTCTGCAGTAAAGACCAATGCAAAGAATTCATTTAGCTTTTCTGCAACACCTTGCCTTTCTTGAGTGCTCCGTTAGCACCTCGATCGTCCAATGGCTCCACTGATTGATTGGAAGGCTTTCTGCTTTTGATGTTAAAAAAATGTTGCTGTTAATTTGCATGTCTTTTGCTAATTGCTCTTGACATTTTTTTTTTGGCCTACCTGATTATACTTTTACACTTGACTTGATGGAGTTTATGCTCCTTTCTATTTTCCTCAGTAGGATTTGACTTCCAATTTTTAAAGGATGCCTTTTTGCCTCTAACCACTTCTTTTTCTCCACTGTTTAACCATAGTGGCATTTTTTGGTCCTTGTACTGTTTTTTGTTTTTAATTATTTGGGGTATACTTTTAGTTTGAGCCTCTGTTATGGTGTTTTTAAATAGTTTCCATGCAGCTTGCAAGTATTTCACTTTTTGTGACTGTTCCTTTTAATTTCCATTTAACTGCCCTCCTCATATTTTTGCAGTTCCTCTTTCTGAAATTAAATGCTACTGTGGTGGGCTTCTTTGGTATTTTCTCCCGTAGATGGATTTTACATTTAATTAGATTACAGTCACTATTATTAAACAGTTCTGCTATAGTCACTTCTTGGACCAGATTCTGCCCTCTGCTTAGGCCTGAATCAAGAATTGTCCCTCCCCTGGGCTCCAGGACTAGCTGCTCAAAGAGGCAGTTGTTAATGGTGTCTAGAAATTTTATCTCTGCATCCCATCCTGAGGTGACATGTTCCCAGTCAATATGGGGATAGTTGAAACCTTCCATTGTTATTGGGTTTTCTGTTTTTGTAGCCTCTCTTATCTCTCTGAGCATTTCACAGGTCAGGTGTTTGGTAGTATAATTCATTCCTGCTGCTATACTTTTCTTTGTGCCATGGGTTCTGCTTCTTTATGGCAGGTAGGTACACGACCTTTCCCTTGGAACAGAGAGCAGGATTGGCCAAGCTCCAAGGCAACCCTCCCCAGCCCCTATGCACAGTCACAGAGAACTGACTGTGTCGGATACACCATTTGAATGGTCCCTGTTTAGTGACAAGGCAAAGGCAAACACCAGTCCCTACCAGTCTGTCCTGGTAACGTCTTATGACCCCCAAATCTGCCCATCAGCCTAACCCTGTACATGCTGGGGAGAATAACTGTCATGATAGATTCTTACATTTCCAGACCAGAACAGACCGTTGTGATCATCTACTCTGACAACTGTACGACACAGGCCGAGACCTGCCCAAAATAATTCTTACAGCAGAGCTTCTCGAAAAGTATCTAATCATGATGTAAAAATTGTCAATGATGGAGAATCTGTCATGACCCCTAGTAAATTACAGCCCATTTACGCTTGGAAAGCATCATGCTGTCCAAACAATTTTCCATGCGTGTGTGTGAGACACAGAGAGAGAGAGAGAGATAGTGAATGAATCACAGGAATGTGGAGTCTGCCAGATCCTCGGGGAACTGTGAATTAGAAATATCAGTTACCTGGGGGTTAGGTGGGTGGGGAGCAGCGGCAAAGCACCTACATTTATCACATTTAAATTTCAAGGATTATTTTTTATTTCCAGGATTGTCCACATTCTCCTTATACTGTTTGGCTCAAATAGAACATCACCCAAGTCATTGTGGTCTCTTCTGGGAGAGGCAGCATGGTCTTGTTGATTGAAAGATGGGCTGGGAGTCCTTTCCAAGCTCTGCCATTGGCTCACTGTTACTTTGGATGGGTCACTTCACCTTTCTGTGCCTCAGTTTCCCCCTCTCTAAAATGACTTAGACTTCTTTGGAAAGCCCTGTGAGTTGATGAGAAGCTGGATATGAGTCGACAGTGTGCCCTTGTTGCCAAGAAGGCTAACGGCATTTTGGGCTGTATAAGTAGGGGCATTGCCAGCAGATCGAGGGATGTGATCGTTCCCCTCTATTGGACATTGAGGTCTCATCTGGGATACTGTGTCCAGTTTTGGGCCCCACACTACTGGAATGGGTTACCTAGGGAGGGTGGTGGAATCTCCTTCCTTAGAGGTTTTTAAAGTCAGGCTTGACAAAGCCCTGGCTAGGATGATTTAGTAGGGGATTGGCCCTGCTTTGAGCAGGGGCTAGATGACCTCCTGAGGTCCCTTCCAACCCTGATAATCTATGATTCTATGAAAGGTGTCGTGTAAGTACAAAGTATTATATACAGCAGGCAGCATTCCGGTAGCCTGCTTTTCCCCAGACTCTATATCCTAGCTGTTCAGAGCCAAGACCTTCTATATCTTTGGCCAGTGTAGTGTGCATATGCTTATGAAACGAGGGTGTGTGAAACTGGATGCAATGGTCCAGGTGGCTGTGCCTCATGGCCTTCTCCAGTGGCACAGGCCAGGCAAAAAGGTCCGTGATGGTTGCAGTGGCAGCCTCTGACACTCAGGAGAGCCTGGATTGGTGGAGATGGCTGTCATAGGCCACAGGGAGGGACTAGTGGTAGCAAATTCTGCTGCCTTTGTTGTTAATGAAAATGTCAAAGAGGCTGATGTTGCTCTCACCCCAGGTTGTGAGGGCCTGGGGGAGAGGCTGCTGGTGGCCTCTACAGGGTGATTTGGCCACATGCAGGAGCTTTTAGGGCCTAAGTATCCTGATGAGAAGCTCAAGAAAGACAACAATGAATAACAAAACAGGACATATTTGCATAGCATCAAAGAAGAAGGGCTCCCCATTTTTGAGTCCTGTTCTGTTTTTGGTCACCTCAACTTAAAAACACTGAGTTGGAAATGGTCCAGAGAAGGGCATCAGAGGTGCTTCTACAGCTGGGTAGGGCTGGCAGTTCCCACAATATGATCTTTGATTACAAAAGCTAGGCCATAATTGTCCACAAAGAGGCTTCTTGCATCTTCCTCTTTTGCTGGCCACTGTCAGGGACAGGACACTGGAGTCTGATCCAGTCTATGGTCCCTGAATGGTGAATTTGTGTGCAGCTTAGTAATGACATTGTTAGATATCAGCTGGCCTTTGCTTAAAAAATAAAATAAATAAAAATGAATACCCCTGGGTAATCAAATTAAAAACTGCTATTGCTCCCTGAAGGTTGAACTGTAAAACCCTCTAAAGCCAAGAATTGCAACTAGATTTTAATGTAATCTTAACTTCCCACTTGTGCATATATGGTACAGTACAGTCTTTAATTATGAGAACACAAGTTCTTATACACAGGTATCCAAAGGGTGCAGGTAAAAATGTGAAATAGTATGGTGTCAGAGTGTTGCCAAGCATGCCTGCAGATGATCAAAGTTACAGTTGAGAAGTCAGCTAGGGTTTTAAATTTCTGGGTTTTGTACATTTAACTATATAACCTTAATGTTGCATTAAACTGGGGGTACTGGGAGGGGTTCTTTTGCATTTAATTGATAGTTTGCCTGCTTTGCTTCCTGAGTTTGAGTTACAGCCTGACTTTGCACTAGTGAGTTTAGTGAGGGAGAAAACTACTCACCTTCCTCATGGTCTTTTCCAGGTGAAGAGGCCTGTTATATGCCTGATGCCTTTCTCCATAGACTGCCAAAAGCCCCTAAAAATCATTCCCAAATTGAGGACAGGGAACTAAATGCCAAAGTACCGGGTCCTAGTGTGGTTAATAATCCCCCCTCCGTGCTCTTGCCTCTAAACTTAACCCAAAGACTCTCAAGAGAGAGTTAGGCTGGAGTCCCTTAGGACTCCACTAGAAACACCCCCACTGGATGATGATTCCTCATTAACGGTTACATTTTAAACCAGTTTTTAATCCATTTAAAATGTGCTGCACTGAGTCTTTTATATTATGCCTCTATCGTATCCCCCCTTAGTTGTTTCTTTTCTAAACTGAACAATCCCAGATTTTTTAATCTCTCCTCATATGGAAGCTATTCTATACCTCAAACCTTTTTTTGTTTCCTTTCTAGGTAGCTTTTCCAATTCTATTATGTCTTGTTTTGATATGGTGTGACCAGAACTGCACACAGTATTTGAGGTGTGGATGTACCATGGATTTAAACAATGGCATTATGATATTTTCTGTCTTATTATATATCCCTTTCCTAATGGGATTTAATAGAACAGACATTTTCTTATCTTTTTTGACTGCCACTACACATTGAGTGGACGTTTTCAGAGAACTATCCACAATGACTCCCAAGACCTCTTTCTTGTGTGGTAACAGCTAATTTAGACCCCATCATTTTGTATGTATTGTTGGAATTATGTTTTCCAATGTGCATTACTTTGCATTTACCAGCATTGATTTTCATCTCTCATTTGCTTGCCCAGTCACCCAGTTTTGTGAGATCCCTTTGTAACTCCTCCAGTCAGTTTTAGACTTAACTATCTTGAGAAATTTAGTATTGTCTGAAAACTTTACTACTTCCCTGTTTACCACCTTTACCAGGTCATTTATGAATACGTTAAACAGCACAGATCCTTGGGGGACCCTACTATTTATCTCTTTCCATTGTGAAAACTGATCACTTATTCGTACCCTTTGTTTCTGTCTTGTAACCAGTTAGTAATCCTTTTATACCATGGCTGCTTAGTTTGCAGTTTGTTTATCTTTAGTTAATGCTGTTAACATCCTCCTTAGTTATTGTTGGGGTTGGATGATGGAAGGGTTTTTAAGCTAGTTAAATAAAATCTAGTGCTCAGAAGTTGAAGCTGGACACATTCAAATTAAGAATAGGACATAAT